GAGTTTAAAAAATTAGAATAAGACACGCATTGAGTGGGAGAAAGTGAAACTGTATCGTGAGGTTTCAACAGTTTGTTAATAGTACTGAACAAAGTCCTTGTATTAGACTGTCCATTAGCAATGATATTTGCATAAAACAATGATTTTGCTCTTTGATAGATAGATATTGCAATTAATCAATTAATTAATTAAAAGTGCAACCAAATCATATGCAGTTCCTTCCCTGAGAAAGTTAGCTGCACCAGTGCGACCAGTAGGAGGAATGAGTTTAGAGCCCTGATATATGTATACATACATGCACGCAGGGGAGATCAGAATTAGAGAACATTGACCACTGTAGCACGAAAGAAGGTTACAACAAAAATTTTGGAGGGTTACCACTGTCAAAAAAGAATTAGACACCTGCTTTGAATGACTTCAGCAAATCTGTGGCCGCAGAACATCACTAGTTTCTCACATTGTTCTGGTGTGATCTTGGTCCACACTTAATCCATTCTCTTCCATAGTTCTGTAACTGTAATGGGTTTCTTAGCCATAACTTTGTTGCCAAAAGATTTTCCAGAGATTTTCAGTGGGTTTAGATCAGGACTCTGGGCCGGCCATTTCATTATTTCAATGTTTTCTGCTTCAAGGAACTGCTTTACCTGTTTTGCAGTGTGACGAGGACATTGTCTTGCATGAAAACTGCAGGCTGATTGGGAGATGCTTGCAGGGAAGGAACCGCATGTTGCTGAAGGAGGTTCTGATAAACATTTGCGTTCACTCTGCCATAGCTGTATGCTGTCAAACTCCTGCTGCACAAAACATCCCCCAAACCATTCCTCCTCCACCTTTCACTGACTTCTTTACACACTCAGGGGTTCAGTCTTTCCCCAGTTTGACACTGGATATAATGTTTTCCATCTGACCTAAATAAATTAAACTTGCTCTGATCACTAAAGTGATTTGGACCAGTTCTCTCTCCACACAACATGCTCCTCAGCAAAGGTTAGTCTAGCCTTTTGATTCTTTCTGCTGATGAGAGGCTTTGTCACTACACTGTGCGTTTTCACTCCGACTTCTGAACTGGCGAGCAATTCCAGCTGCAGTGTTAAATCGATTCCCCATTGAGAGTCCGCATTATCCTGTCTTCTCGTGCATTTGTCTCACGTGGACGACCAGCCTTTTTGGGGACTTGAATGAATTAGTGTCATTGTAAAGCAGCAATATTCTAGAAATCACAGATTTGGAATGACCAGCTTCTCTTGCAGTGGCTGAAAGGGTCATCCCTCTGGCCTTCATCTGAACAACCTCCTGTGGTAGGCTTTCAGTCACCTTAGAGCAGCCCGCCATCATGAAATCTCAGTGAAAATGAGGAATGCTGCCAGTTAAATAGGTTTGTCATATAATTAAGGAAATTAGCACCAGGTGCCAGATTAACACCAATAACTTGGAGGTATCTGTAAGTGTTCTTTAATTTTTATCAGAGTTCTTTTTCAAATATCTTATGTACGTTTTTTTTTTTTTCCATGTGGAACACAGATTAGTCCTGTCACTTTAAGAAGTTACCCCTAATGTCAGCTCGTTAGGTGTATAAGACACCACACAATCTGTATTTTCCATTCCAACCTCTCCCACCACCATGGGCAAGACCAAAGAGCAGTCAAAGGATGTCAGAGACAAGATTGTAGATCTGCACAAGGCTTGAATGGGCTACAAGACCATCAGCAAGAAGCTTGGTGAGGAGGAGACAACTGTTGGTGCTATTATTCGGAAATGGAAAAATACAAAACAACCATCAATCTGCCTTGGTGTGGAGCTCCGTGCAAGATCTCGCCTCATGGTGTAAGGATGATCATGAGAAAGGTGAGGATCAGCTCCGAACTACACAGGAGGAGCTTGTTAATGATCATAAGGCAGTTGGGACCACAGTCACCAAGCAAAACATTGGTAACACACTACGCCGCAATGGACTGAAATCCTGCAGCGCCCGCAAGGTCCCCCTGCTCAAGAAGGCACATGTACAGGCCCATTTAAAGTTTGCCAAAGAACATCTAAATGTTCAGAGAAGGCTTGGTAGAAAGTACTATGAGACCAAAATTGAGCTCTTTGGCATTAACTTGACTCGCCGTGTTTGGAGGGAGAGAAATGCTGACTATGACCCCAAGAACACCATCCCTACAGTCAAGCACGGAGGTGGAAATTATTATGCTTTGGGCCTGTTTTTCTGCTAAGGGTACAGGACGACTTAACCGCATTAAGGGGCAAATGGACAGGGCCATGTACTGTAAAATCTTGGACGAGAACCTCCTTCCCTTAGCAAGAAAACTGAAGATGAGTCATGGATGGGTCTTCCAGCATGACAATGACCCGAAATATACCACCAACGCAACAAAGGAGTGGCTCAAGAAGAAGCACATTAAGGTCATGGAGTGGCCTAGCCAGTCTCCAGACCTCAATCCTACAGAAAATCTGTGGAGGGAGCTGAAACTTCGAGTTGCCAAACAACAGCCAATAAACCTTAAGGATTTAGAGAGGATCTGCAAAGAGGAGTGAATCAAAATCCCTCAACAAAGTACTAAGTCATGTTTTGCTTGGGGATCAAATACTTATTTCACTCACTGAAATGCAAATCAATTTCTAACCTTTATATAATGTGTTTTTTCTGGATTTTTTGGTTGGTAATCGGTCTCTATACATTAAAATAAACCTACCGTAAAATTACAGACCCTTAATTTCTTTGTAAGTGGGCAAACTTGTCAGCAGGGGATCAAATAAATATTTTCCCCACTGTGTGTGTGTATGTATATATATGTGTATATATATATGCACACACACAGATAGGGTATTTTTTTTATTAGTAATTAATAGTTTTCATATAATGTTACATAAAATTCTGTCTCAAATAAATGCTGTTCTTTTGAAATGTCTATTCATCAAAGAATTGTGAAAAAATAGTATCACAGTTTTCACAAAAATGCTGTTTTCAACATGAATAGTAATGTGTCTAGAGCAGCAAATCAGCATATTAGAATGATTTCTGAAGGATCATGTGACACTGAAGACTGGAGTAATGGCTGTTGAAAATTCAGCTTTGCCATCACAGAAATAAATTCCGTTTTAGTATTTTAAAGTGTACAACTACAAGACTTTTGAATCGTAATATGTTGTTTATATAAACATTTATTTTCTTTTAAATTATATATTTTTAATGAAATAAAATATATATTTTTATATAATAATAATAATATTTTATATATTATTATTTATTTATTTTTACTTTTTTTTTTTTTTTTTCAAACACTGACAATGTCTGATACATCAGAGACAGGTGACCCCAAAACCAGTCCAATATACCAAGCACTTAATTTTGGAAATGTGTAGGTTTGCACATTCCTGGATGGCCTAAAGTTTTAAACACTTTTGACCTGATTCAGCATGTGCATGAACCCACACACAATCGTGGACATACTCTAGATTTAATCATCAGTAGAGGTCTAAACATTTCATCCATTGTTATTAAGGACGTAGCACTATCTGATCACTTCTGTATTTTTTTTTTTATATATTGATCTCTGTTACCATTGAATCTAAATCTGTCTCTGTCAGAAAGAGATGCATTAACGAAAACACTAGTGTGCTATTTATGGAGGCTATATCTTTAACACCAAGCATTTCTGCAGACTTTGTTGATCTTCTTGATTCCTTTAACTCAAAAGTTAAGAATGTTATTAATGACATTGCTCCTTTGAAAGTCAGCAAGAAGACTGGCAGACAGAAATCAGCTTCAACTGATTCAGAATCAACAGCAGTTCAGAGTATGAAAAGACAATGCAGAAAAGCTGAGCAGATGTGGAGTAAGTCGAAACTTGAAATCCGCTATAGCATACATAAAGACAGCCTTTGTGCTTTCAATGTGGAACTAGGCAAAGCTAGACAGTCGTTCTTCTCAAACCTTATAAACAGTAACTTAAACAACACTCGTCTCGCACTCTTTTTGCTACTGTTGAGAGACTGACAAACCCCCCCAATTCAGATTGCCAGTGAAATGCTCTCCGACAGCAAATGCAATGAGCTTGCTTCCTCCTTTTCTGAAAAAATTCATAATATCAGGAAGGCAATTAGCACATCCCCAAGTTATGCAGAGGTTAGACAGATTCGACCACAATATCAAAAAGAAGATACTATGTCTGCTTTTGAAGAAATTGATAGCAAAATTTTGGAAGAAATAGTACAGCACCTTAAATTGTCAACCTGCTATCTTGACACACTTCCCACATATTTTTTTCAAAAGAGTGCTTAACAGTTTGGAAGCAGATCTCTTAGAAGTGGTGAACCAAGAAGACCATTAGAGAGCTGCAGCTCATCCAGAATGCTGCTGCCAGAATTCTGACTAGAACCAGAAAAGCTGAGCATGTCACACCAGTCCTCAGGTCCTTACACTGGCTTCCAGTTATATTTAGGATTGATTTTAAAGTACTTTTACTCATTTATAAATCACTCAATGGCCTAGGACCTAAATACATAGCAGATATGTTCACTGAATATAAACCTAACAGACCACTCAGATCATTAGGATCGAGTCAGTTAGAAATACCAAGGGTTCACACAAAACAAGGGGAGTCTGCTTTTAGTTATTATGCTGCCCACAGTTGGAATCAGCTTCCAGAAGAGATCAGATGTGCTAAAACATTAGTCACATTTAAATGCAGACTCAAAACTCATCTGTTTAGCTGTGCATTTATTGAATGAGCACTGTGCGATGTCCGAACTGATTGCACTATATTTTATGTATAATCGTTTTCTATTCTTAACTGTTTTAAATTCATTTTAAACCTCTTAAATCGATTTTTTAATCATTTTCAAAGTTTTTAATTCCTTGTTTTATTGTTGTGATTATTTTTTCTTTTCTTTTATGTAAAACACTTTGAATTATCATTGTGTATGAAATGTGATATATAAATAAACTTGCCTTGCCTTGCCTAAAGTCACTGACATTCTCTTTCCTCTTCATTTTTCAGACACTTCTGGATCGCTTTGACTATGATGATGAGCCAGAAGCAGGTGAGGAAGCAAAAAAGGGTGAAACGTCATCTGTCCAACCTACTATGTAAGTAGCATCTATTTGACTATATTTTGAATGGTGATAAACAGTATATCACCTGCAAAGTTTGTGCAGAACTTTCAATTTGTTATTTCATCTGTATCTCTGCAGGGGATTTCCTGAGCAGACCGTCCCAGGATTTCCACCAGGCAATCAGATGCAGCCCTTTCAACAGCATATGATGGCCGTAACACAGCAGCAACAGGTAGATCACTACAACGTTCTAGTATGGAGACATTTTGGGATGAAATCTCTTTTTCTTATGGCATTTTTCTCTAATTTAAAAAATCGTCAGTAACGTTTTGGTTTTTATTGTTGTATGCTCAGGTTGTTCTACCTTCAAATGGACAGGTCCAAGGCTTTGGTCTTATGACCTCTCAGCCCTATCCAGACATGATGTCTCAGATGGGGCAGTCACACACAGCTTTCCCCTCTCAGAATAACACATTCAATCAGCACATGGCTGGACATCAGCATCCGGTAAAATAATTTTGAAAATTAACAATTAACTGATTCTTAACTGTTAAGCTGTCATAGAATTTAATACTAATCTCTGATAACTTGTGGCACAGGAAATTATGAATTCAGATGCATCTGCTAGGCCTTACCACGATGACAAGAGGTCACGGTCACGTTCAGGGTCGAGGTGCTTAAATTAAATTACTGTCCTTATGAACAACACTAACGTCATACTTCTGTGTAAAAACATTTTTTCAGTCCTCATGCCAAGGTTAAAAGTTGTTGTTTTTGTTTCAGATCTCCTAAAAGAAGAAGGTCTCGGTCTAATTCCCGTACCAGACGAATGCGGCATCGGCGATCACGCTCTCGAGAACGACGGCATCAGTCACCTCGCTCGCGGTCTCAGGAAAGAAGAGACAGAGAAAAGGAACGAGAACGAAGACAGAAAGGCCTTCCTCCTATAAAGAATAACACTCTCAGTGGTAAGCAAAGCCACTTTCACCACTGTAACCACTAGTCAAGTGGATAGGGTTGGATTATGCAAACTTGGCCACTATAAAGAATGCATAACAAAGTGCTAAACCTTCTTCCTGATGCCAGTGTGAAATTGTGCTTTTCTCTCTTTCAGTGTGCAGTACTACGCTATGGGTGGGCCAGCTGGATAAAAGGACACATCAGCAGGATGTGGCCTGTTTACTAGAGGAGTTTGGGCAGATAGATTCAATTAATGTATGTTCTTGAGAATTAGAGCAATATATGAAGATGTTGGATGTCTGTGCTAAAGTCTCGCTTTGTCTTGTCTGATTTTGATAGATGATTCCTCCTCGTGGTTGTGCCTACATTGTCATGATTCATCGTCAGGATGCTTATCGAGCTCTGCAGAAACTAAGCAGAGGTCCATACAAAGTCAACCAGAAAGCCATTAAGGTATCAGATGATCATTTTAGCACAGATTTGATAAAAAAATATATATTTTAATTAGTTTATAAAAATTGAATGACTCCAAACATTTGAATGGAATTATTATTATTATTAATATTATTATTTTATTTATTTTTCTTACATTTATTGCATCACTTTATTTCACCAGATTGCCTGGGCTCTGAATAAGGGCATTAAGGCTGACTTCAAGCAGTTTTGGGATGTGGAGTTGGGTGTAACCTACATACCATGGTCCAAAGTAAAGATGGAGGACCTGGATGTGTTTAGAGAAGGAGGGATGCTGGACCCTTATACTCTTGCACCAGGTAACTATTGGAACCTATTGTTAATAATTTGTCTAGGCGTTGAGGGCACATATTAACATATTGTTTGCATGTCCATGTTCAGAATGGAGAAGCTCTCAAATTGAGCTAGAGAAAGCTGAAGAGTCTCAGAACGGCAGGCCTGAAATGGGAAAAGTGGAGGAGAGCACGGCTGTAGTACCTATGCAGGTAACTCATAATATCCTGGTTCCACTTCCTAAAGATTTTGGGTTTGGTCCTATTTATTCATTTTTCCTATTTTTGTTCTGCCTCAGGTTCCTCCTGTCCAGCCAATAGGAGCAGTCGGTGTCCCACCTCCAGGATTCCCAGGACCCATGAACATCCCACCCCCCTCATTCCCACCTGGAGTTCCCCCACCCCCGGGTCCTTTTATACGTCCAGGCTTTAACCCAATGCAGATGCCACCTGGTACAGCAGTACTAGTGACACAATATTATTTGAAGTTTAATCATAAGTGTGTTGTCAGGATAGATGTTTTGTTTTCAGAGAAGTATTGTACCAATTACTAACATGCATTATTCTTTGTTTCAGGATTTCTCCCCCCGGGTGCCATGCCTCTTCTGGGCGCCACTGGGCCTCCACCTACAGCAGGGATTGGCATGCCTCCAGGTGGGCGGTCTTTATTGTATAAACCCTACCTAATTTTATTTTTATGGGCGTGACCAGTAAGCCAGTGTAATTAACATTTCTCATCTTGACAGCAACACTGACCTGATTTTTTTCCCCTGTAGTTGGCAGCTCAGTTAAGGACCTGTCGAAAGACCCAGCAGGTATGGGCCCAAGAATCAACAGTGATGGAATAGAGGGGTTCAACTCAGGCGAGTATTTATGTCTTTCTGTAGATTTATTAATCACAAAATATTATGAAATATTTTTTTAAACCTAGTTTAAAAGTAATTTATTCCTGTGAGAGCAAAGCTGTGATTTTTCAATAGCCATCACTCCAGTCTTTAGTGTTACATGATCCTTCAGAAATCATTTTAATAAAATAATTTGGTGCTCAAGAAACATTTCTTATCAACTTATTAAAACGTTTATTTTTTAGGATTCTTATATGAATTGAAGTTTAAAAGAGCAGCAATTATTTAAAACAACATTATAAAAGCCTTTACTTTTTAATAAATTATTAATTTCTTTTTAAAACACCTAAATAAAATAAAACACTTTACTAATCCTGAACTTTTAATCAGTAGTATAGATAGATAGATAGATCTTCAAATATTTCAGCGATAGGAATTTGGTTTTAATAAAATATTTTCATATCAAATGAATGAACTGACCTATATGCAAGTTGTTTCAGTCTTTTTTAACATTTATCTTATGATCTGTAAGTATTTGTGCCAACTAGTAGTAAGTGTTTACTGGGCCTTATGGCATATACAACCATACTGTGGTATTTATCTTGTGATTCATCATGGTTTGAATAGGACATCTATATCTATATGAATAGGTAATGACTGTGGAATTAGAGGATGGCATTTGACTGTATTTCAAGTGACAACCATGTAGCTTGATTTATCAGTTGCTATCCCTTTCTTTGAAACCTTTTTAATTGTCAAAAATTATACTTTCTGTAACAAGTAACAATGAGAAACAAGCAAAAGGAAAAATGGAGAATTAAAATAAATATAAAATAGGTTTTTTTTACCTCGTCACTAAAAACGGAAATAATTGCGAAACATGTTTTTAAAGCTTTTTTATTTTTATTATTCTTAGACTATTTCAATGAAGCCATTTAATTTCTTTTAAAAAAAACAGAGAGAGAGAGAAGTACAGAATTTGTGCCTAATATCGAAGTCCCTCACGTCACGCAGCGTGACACGCCAGACTTTGACCCAATCAGCGTCCACCAGTCTCTTCTGCCTCCTGATTGGTCAGTTCGGCTCACGCGCTTCCTCTCTTATCAAACAGTATCCGTTTCTATTCTCTGACTCTCAGCTCAGTCACAACTTCACAGTTTGCATAATTCAAAGTCAGCATGGCGATGAAAGCTGTTTGTGTGCTCAAAGGCACCGGGGAAGTGACCGGAACCGTTTATTTCGAGCAGCAGGTAAAGACGTGTTTTATTGCGACCGTATGTTATGACGTAGCTGGAGAGCAGCGAGTTAGCCTGCAGCCGCGGCGCGCGGCGTGTCATGTAACTATGTAACTCCTTATTTCTAAAGTCCAGTGATATGCAGTTGCACGGGATTAGCTGTGCTAATGTCATGCAGATATTGAAAAAACTACAGTGAGCTGTTATACATGATTTCACTTGTTAACTGACTTATGTGCATTGTCACATTGCTGTAATGCGTTAGAACCGTTAAAAGCAGCTCAGCATTGACCTTTGACACGATGGCAGGTCTGTAGTGTGCGCCCCTGTGTACGCGAATACTAATTATTTGTCTTAACGTATGCATGCAAATTATGAAACTGCCCTCCGTCTGCACCTGAAATTGGGACTTTACAGTGTTCAGAAGCGTTGGGTGGCAGGCAGTGGTGTCATGGACTTGCCTTAAAAGTCTCATGAAACTAGAAGGGGAAATGTTGTTTGCTGTCAATTTTGCCAAATAGGACAGCGATCACAGCACACAAATGCTGGCAGAACTGTACTGGTGCAATGGCTGAAAAAGCGCATGCATGCAAATTATGAAACTGCCCTCCGTCTGCACCTGAAATTGGGACTTTACAGTGTTCAGAAGCGTTGGGTGGCAGGCAGTGGTGTCATGGACTTGCCTTAAAAGTCTCATGAAACTAGAAGGGGAGGGAAATGTTGTTTGCTGTCAATTTTGCCAAATAGGACAGCGATCACAGCACACAAATGCTGGCAGAACTGTACTGGTGCAATGGCTGAAAAAGCGTTTCATTGCTCTTCAAACACCATTTATCGTGTTTGTTATAGTTACAGATATAACAATAGTTACAGATCTAATGATATTTATTGTAATTCGTCTTTACGGTGTATGTACTATCAAGTTTCATCTGCATTTTGTCCAGCATTGTGTCATTCGGGTATTAAAATGTCCTAAAAGTATTTAATCCACCCTTCCATAAATTAAATCTGAGCAGAAAGTCTTATTCATTGTTACAGAATTAAATGTTGCATACAGTGCCAAAAAATATTTTCTTCCTTTTAGTATTTTTGTTTTATTTATCTAAGTGTTTTTAAATCAAGATACTTGAGATGCAAAATTAAGATATGAACAGAGAAATTGAATTAAGGAGTTTGATTAAAATGGGAACAAATGTTTATCAATGGACTATGAAAATGATTTCCTTTTTTAAGATTTTTTTTTTTGGCCCTCCTCGTTAGATATTTGATAATTAATCATAAACTCACTTCATCAGAAAGCAAGACTTCCTGCCATTATTCATCTCAAGTAAATGTATCTTGACATTTGCACTGGAAAACCAGACAAAAACACTGATGAAGAACATCACTTTCATTACAGTGCATTTAGAAGATACAGTAAAAGTTATTTCTATGTTCTAGCCGTTGCGAGCAGGGCTATCCAAGCCTTAAGCTATGTTTTTGTAAAATGTTTTAAAAATGAAGGAAGTTGTATTTTCAAACTTTGAATTGTTGCCAGTGCAGCTCATTGTGTGCTTCATAGACATTTACATTTATTTAGAGAACATATTGTGTTACCTTAAATTTATTCCTTACATATTTTTGGTTTTAAAGTTTTAGATTTACCTTCATAAAACCTGCAGAAACCCTGTCAAGTATTTACATTTAAGCATTTGACAGATTTTCTTTTTTTAATTTAGCTTGCATTGCATTGCAGGTATACGTTTGATCAGTTCCTGCATTCCCTGGTAATCAAACCCATGACTTTGGTGTTGTCTGCACCATGCATCATGCTTAACAGTTAATGCTTCTGCTTTCTGAAGTGTTATGAAACTATCATTGACCAAAAGAGTGATCTGTTTGTTTTAGAACGAAACGTCTTCAGTGAAGCTCTCAGGTGAAATCACTGGCCTTACTCCAGGAAAGCATGGTTTCCATGTCCATGCTTTTGGAGACAACACAAATGGTAAGCACCATTACTCCATTCACTGACCTTAAAGTACAGGTTAATCCTATTAAGACTGAAAACTTTACCTTAAACCCCTAGATATGTCTTTATTTTGAACAGACTTTACCATTCTGTTTCCTCACAGGCTGCATCAGTGCAGGTCCACACTTCAACCCTTATGGTAAAAATCATGGTGGACCAACTGATAGTGACAGGTGGGTTTATCAGTGAGATGTACGGCATGACACCTTTGCTTGTATGCTAATGTCTATATTTGGTTAAATACATTTTTTTTTTATTTGCATAAATCTCTACAAGTCAAATAAGTATATTTATAAAGAGTGGTACTTGCTAAATAGGGTTCTGTTACTTCTGTGTTCAGCAAGATATTTCAATGTTCAGAGAGCACAGAGGTCTATAATAAGTTGAGTAATTTGTTCATTAGCTTTCCTGTTCATCTCAATGACGGCTGCTCAGTTATTTACACAGAAGTTTTTGAATCATTTGCCTGATCTGTAAATGTGATGTTCATTTTGCAGCCACAGTATATGACAACGTTAAAACGCTAAAAGGTTGATGGCAACATAGTCCCAAACCCATCATTATTGACAATCCTGAGCTGTGAGATCCGAGAAAGACGAGTCCATTTCATGCTTTTATATTTTACTGTGTGGTAGTATTTATTACTATATACAGTGGGTACGGAAAGTATTCAGACCCCCTTAAATTTTTCCCTCTTTGTTATATTGCAGCCATTTGCTAAAATCATTTAAGTTATTTTTTTTTCCTCATTACTGTACACACAGCACCCCATATTGACAGAAAAACACAGAATTGTTGACATTTTTGCAGATTTATTAAAAAAGAAAAACTGAAATATCACATGGTCCTAAGTATTCAGACCCTTTGCTGTGACACTCATATATTTAATCGCTTTGATTCATATTCTTTACTTGGTATTATTTACAATAAGAATCATAATTATTTGTATAGTCACTAAATGGGTCAAACAGAGTGAGAATGTAGCCTGAAAAAATTCAAGTGGAGTTTTTTTTTTTTTTTTTTTTTTTTTTTTAAAGTTTTTTTCTCTGTTTACTTTATGGTTTCTGAAAAATTAAAAAGTGTTGAACCCAAATTTGTCCCAAATATGATAGTTTTTTCAAAATCATTCAGGCCTAAAGGGTGGTTCACCCTCAGAAATAGTGTTCTGCGTTTTTCAGCTTTAAAAAAAATTTATTTTCATTTTCTATGCAGATAAATCACCCCAATCATTCTAGAATGATTAATTAATTTCTTCCAAATATAACTATTGAAGTAATCTTTAGACAAGAAAAATTCAGTATTTTCATAATATATGGCAGAAAACTAAATATTGCAATGCTATATTTTCTGGTATCATGCAAACCGTGTTTTTTTTTTTTTTCCTAACTGTGTAAACATTCTGGATGCAGTACCTTTTCAGTGTATTTTCAAACAGCCGTGTTCTAGCAGATGTGTTTATAGTAATAATAACAGTAGTGATGTACTGTTACGCAGACATGTCGGAGACCTTGGTAACGTGATAGCCGATGACAATGGTGTTGCAAAAATTGGCATTGAGGATAAAATTGCGACCCTGTTAGGGCAACACTCCATCATTGGGAGGACCATGGTGGTAAGAAAACAACTCAGTGGATTTATCATCAACAGCATATCTAATGGCAATAACTAGCTGTTTAACAGCAGACCTCACTGTGTAAATTCTGCTCTAGATCCATGAGAAGGAGGATGACTTGGGTAAAGGAGGCAGTGAAGAAAGTCTTAAAACTGGCAATGCTGGAGGTCGCCTGGCCTGTGGAATTATAGGCATCACTCAGTGAAGTCCAGCTCTAATCGAAGAGTTGGCTTTGAAATATTGGTGACCAATGTGGATCCCCCCTTCCTTAAGCACTTAGCCCTCTAACAATTGCATCACTATTTTTGCAAGTTAATGCTTAAAGAATTGTACTTTAGCCATGTAAAGCCGTTTTGTTTTCTGCACACGTCTGTGTGGACACTGTCTGACTTCTTACAGCTACAAAGTGATGTTCATTTCCTCTGATCTCTGCTTTATTCAATAAAGATTGAGCGGACTGGATATGTGTGTGTCTTTATGAACTACACTTTTGGTCTGTGATGGAAAAATGAATTGTGCAGGTATAGTATTAAACCCGATTCTGTTCAGTGTTGTTATTGTAATCTAAAACTAATAAAAATTGTTGATGATAAATAAAACTAAATTTAAAATGTATTTTAAAAACATTTTTTAAATGCACACATTGTGCGTTAAAACTAAAATGAAAGCAACTGAAAATATAAAAATAAGCTAATTGAAAATATGAATAAATATAATAGCATATAAAATAATACTAAAATAACTGCTATTTCTGGGATCAAATATAAAGTAATTTTTGTCTCAGGGACTCTGAATTTGCCATGGTATAATTTTTTACTACAATAAAACTTTCCGCTCATCAAAAAGTTTGAAAGCTGCTTACACGGTTGGAAGATAATTTTTTGTTTTGTTTTACTGTAGTAGCTATGGTATTTTGGAAACCATGGGAAGTGTAACTGGATGGACAGGTCCTGGAGTCAAGAGAGGTCGCTGCTTCGAATACACCACTAGATGGCAGACTTTTCCTGCATTACCGTATGTCAGACCCAAAAGTAATTTCGGGATGTTTGCGATGCATTTAATGAGTGCATACTTACGATGTTACTTGAATTAAATTATTACTTCATAACAGTCTTACCTTATGCATTTGTTTTGTGAAAATTCTGAGGTTATTAAGTGGACACTTTTTATGGAGTCAGGCTCTGTGACCAGCTGTAAACTAACTTGGGCAGGCTGAGAGACCATAGACCAAACGACCTTAGGCTTTTAAAATATTTCTCCGCAGTAATATAGAAGTATAATTCCTTAGGCTGATGATACACGGGGTAACTTTTTTTGAGCAATGCTGTTTGGGCACTTTCCCATTCAGAATGAGTGACAAATGTCTATCTGGATACTTTATATCTGTCGTGGGCCTTGTGTCTCATCTGGTTGCCCGTTGACTGCAACATGGCTCAAAAAGTTGCCCCGTGTATCATCAGCATTCGAGTTGGGAGTCATTGTTGTTCTATGAATAAGGATTTTAAAATGGGTGGTCTCGCCCTTGACATCTGACTCTATATTTGAAACTGCTATTAAACAACTGTGCCTGGTATAGGCCAGCTTTCGCAGATGGCCAGCGGACTGCTGCTGAAATTACATGCTCCGAAACCTCTTTCTCTTTTAATGGGGCAGCCTCCCAAGTGAAGAAACTTGGCATTTCCAGTTTCCTCTCCAGAGAAAATGAGATTCCCCAGAGAACCAAGACCTGCAAAGACCCACAGATGAGTTTCGCAGTTCAAATACCAACCAAATTTGCACTCAAAATACAAGTGTTTTGATGTTAAAATGTACAAATTTGGCTTTTTTATCTTTATTGTGCTTATTTTACAATATGTACATTTCCTACATTATGCCTGTATTCCGACTATGCCAATGCAGTCTGTCCAAACAGGAAAAAAATAGGGGAATTATGTGATAAATTATTTCTGATGTAATTTATTGTGAGTAAAACGTTTTTCTGCCCTCTCTTATTACAGGTGCAGCAGCACAAAGACCTTAAAATGCATTGAGGAAGTACAATCATGGTCCTCACATGGACAAATTTCCAGAAGCAGACAGAATCACTGGAGCATGATGAGTCAAAACGCTGGTATAAATAGCATCAGCAAGGCGGATCATGAATAATGAAGGAGCCGCCCGTCCCCGTCATAGGCCCCACATAATGTCAACACACACTAACAAGGTTTTGTGTCCCACTCCACTGAATGCTCCAAAATCTTTCATCATCTGGCTGGGCTGGATGGCCAGACTTTGCAGTGGCACCTACAAAGACTGACTTTGTATGTGAGATTGTGCACATAAATAGGTTACTGTGACTTCGACCATCTTGTGTAATTGGCAAACATGCATGAAAACCACATATCTTTTCGTCGTTTGACTTGCTCGTGCACGCGCTTGAGGATAATTATTGTTTTGGTTGTGTTAAAGCTTAGCTTGAGGTGTAATAGTAGAAATTTCGTCTAAACCCACAAAGTTCCCTTTTTAAATCTTAAAGCACACTTACTTCAACAAGAATTCATAAGCATGCATAAATGTCTTTTTCGAACAGATAGATTGATAAATAGATAATTTTTTTTGCATCATAGACTGGTTTGATGCTCAAGAAACATTTATGATTATTATCAATGTAGAATAGAAAATTTAGAAACTGATTTTTTTGGGGGGGTACTTTGATAAACAAAGTTCAAAGAATTTATAATTTGTAACATTATAAATGTCTTTACTGTCACTTGATTAATGCATCCTTACAAAATTAAAATATTACATTTCTTTAAAAAAAATCTTACTGAGCCCAATTTAATTCAACAATTGAAGAAACATTGTGATCTTGTAGGATCTGTGTTTTAAAGTGTTCAGGCTGGTGTTTGGGACTTTAAATTATTTTTAAAACTAATTATGTCCACCTGAGTGGTTGCTCGGACCTCTGTTTCCTAGCAACAAGGCCAGATGTCCTGGATCACTGTGGGAGGCAAGTACGAATCTAAGGGGACGTTTCGGTTCGTGTTAATGTTACATAAGAGCTCTTTATGCATCAACGAATCTAAGGTGATTTTATTGACTTTTTAGCCCTTGTTTCTGGGTTTAGCTTTACAATTTTCTACTTTTGATCTCGTCTCATGTCTTTTTAACTTCTCAGTTTGTAACAGTTGAAAAAGGATGCTTTTGTTTGGTTAAAACTGACTTCTGTCTAGTCCATTATTGAATTATTGAATATTCATTTAATCTTCTATTGGATGTATTGATATGTTTAAAACTCAAAATTGTGGTTTTCTGAGGAATTTACAAGATGGAAGTTCCTGCAAGAAGTTTAAAGACTGTCATAAGGGAAATAATTTGAGGTACTTGATTTACATAGTGGACCAAGTTTCTTGAGCACACAATAGGATATTTGACAGCTTCAAAAGTTGTCAGAAGTTCTCCAGAGGGTTCCTCCAGTTCAACCTGAGGAACCCCAAAATTATTTTCTCATTTTTACAGTATACAGGTGCATCTCAATAAATTAGAATGTCATGGAAAAGTTCATTTATTTCAGTAATTCAACTAAAAATGTGAAACTCGTGTATTAAATAAATTCAATGCACACAGACTGAAGTAGTTTAAAGCCTTTGGCTCTTTTAATTGTGATGATTTTGGCTCACATTTAACAAAAACCCACCAATTCATCACCATGTCATCTCAACAAATTAGAATATGGTGACATGCCAATCAGTTAATCAACTCAAAACACCTGCAAAGGTTTCCTGTGCCATCAAAATGTGTTGAATTTGTGGGTTTTTGTTACATGTGAGCCAAAATCATCACAATTAAAAAAACCAAAGACTTAAACTACTTCCATCTGTGTGCATTGAATTTATTTAATACACAAGTTTCACAATTTGAGTTGAATTACTGAAATAAATGAACTTTTCCACGACATTCTAATTTATTGAGATGCACCTGTACTGTAATGGCTATGTTCAGTCTTGGGATATCTTTGGACCAACGCTAGGTTAGAGGTCAGATGCCATACATGGCACTCATACAACAGGCCAGGGGTCATTGAATGCTCTCTTATGTCCCCAGAATCCTCCTGACCAGACCTTTGTCCCCCAGGTATGTGTGTTATTCAGCCAGAACCTCGAAATAATCTACGCCTGTGATGTCTGAGGATAGAGGATGGCTGTGTGGTCCACTTTCACTGGAGTTGTGTTTGCGGAACGATGTATGTTAAAAACACACATCCAGTTTTGTGTGAGTGAAGGAAATCCGCTTGGGAGTGGAGAGATTCGTCCTCGCACACATGGATCGCATAACATTATGCGCTCTCGACATTGTCATTAAGATCACACTATGGAAACCGCCTAAAATTAGAAATTTACTAAAAACAAGCCTATGGCAAGACATTTGGTAGGGGGGCCCCTGGTGTGCCCAGACAAATTTCAGGGGAGGGGGGGCCGGTGCCACCCCTGGCCACCACGTAGACACACCCCTGCTTGTTAGATCAGTGTGCTTAAAGGAAAATATTAAGTATGTGTATATATATATATATATATATATATATATATACTAGGACAAATAAAATGGAATTAATATAGAAAAAGCAGTGGACTCCGTCTGTCTGAGGCCGCTTTGAATATCTAATTCAAAATCTGATCTAAAGCTGAAACATTTAAGAATTTTGAAAATATTAAAACATGAATATTGTGATATAAAGTAAATTAATGCAAAACTTAAAAATCTTCACAAGTAGATCCCTAATTAAATGCATAAAAATTTACTATAAAATTAAATTATAACAATATTAGATTATGAAATTACAATTAAAAATAATGTAAATATTGTAAATAAAAGAAATGCACATTACAATCATTTTGACTAGAGGCCTCAGACATTTAGGCACCTTTTTGCACATTATTATATTTTGAGGTATAAATCTATTATTTCAAAGTGTTTTAATGAAGCTTTTTGTGTGTTTTGCTTTTGTGATAATATTTGTCATTGTGTGTATATAGACTTTTATGATCTCAAAACTTTATTATGCTTCATTTGGCACACCATCAAAGGAATATGCTTATTTGTAGCTACTTATTATCTTATCGAAGTCTTGCTCTGGGCCAGTTTTTACAGTGGAAATATAAAGCTTGACCTTTGACACTGTAGTTATAGGACAAACATGCTAATGATCCCTACTACTGCTCAAGAAAGTAAGGAGTTCAGAATGTACTTGGCCAAGCTCACATGATGTTGCTACACAAATCACTTTCACATTTATCTATTAGTATCCTGTGGGGTTGAGGATTAGCTCCTTTAAAAAGACGTTATTTAAATGTCTAATTCAAACGTTAAAGCACATGCAAATGAGCGTTACAGGTGTGGCTGCAGGGGGTCAGACTGAGGAAGAAAGAAGCATGTTTACAACTGGATATGTATTGCGGTGAGTTGAGCTCCTTCCTTTTTTATTC